ACTGTGGACACGTTTTTCTCTAGTAAACTTACTCCGACTTTTACGTGTAGCAATTTTTCAGATAGTTCAAGTTGTTTAAATTTTAAATTTTTTAATTTTCGACACCATTTTTTAAATAAAACCATTTATGTGGGAAAAACACGTAGAATTTCACGATTTCATTATTTTATAAAAACACCAACAACGTTTTCTACAGGAAAAAATTATTTAATTAAAAAACGATGTAATACATTTTTTGTTGCCTTTTTGATTTACTTTCTTAAGATATCATCGCCAAAATTGCCAAAACTTTTGAGCCACTTTTGGGCTTTTAAGGAATTTTAATTTTTGAGAGTTTTTCGCTGTAATTTAGTTATGAATACACGTAGAGACTTGAAACTTGGTAATAATACTTATATTGGATGACTTAACTAGACATAGTAAAATTTACAAAATAATTGGACTTTTTTTTTTTGACAAGCGTTTTGAAATCAAATTTAAACGAAAATCGCAAAAAAAAAAAAAAACTACGACACATCAAACTATGTATTACCGAACTGCACTCGGAATCGTCTTTCGTCAAGGAATGGTTTATCGTTGCTTACAGACATAAATGAATTAACCTTATGTATCTTACCTTCCCAACTTCTCACTTACAATAAGGGCCACAACTATCCCCAGTATCGTCTCTTTTTTTTTATAATAGATATATTATTATACAAGCAGAGTCGAAATTACGAAAGAAAATAAATAAAATAAAATACGAGTACATTATAATATATCAAAGGTACCAAGAAGGATATCTTGAATGTTGTGCAAAATTCCCGGTTGAATGCTTCGGTGAAAACATCTAAGGAAATATGTTTGAATAGTACAGTACATTTTTTGTCAAACATAAATAATATAAGGTCAACGAGGCTGTGTGAACTCTTGATTGTCGTTCTCGGGATTCAAATGTATTGTTATATTATATACTCGTAAGTAAGATATTATGATTTTCATTACACCATTACTGCTGGAAAATTATACGCGTCCGATTCAGTATTGGCACGAACTTATAGAATTTTGTTTCGATAATGTTACTGAAATATATCATAAAAGTGGATACGATTTTTTGTAGAGTTTTTTTTTTTTTAAGAACGTTAATTAAACGAGCAAAAGGTCGGAATGTAATGAGTCTATAGGAAATCTCTAGGTTTTTCTACGAATTCATGGTAACAGGTTCGATATGCAATAAATATCCTCGAAATATCCGAGCATTTGCTTTCTCGCAAATCAATTACAAATACCCAAATATTAGGCGGATCAACGAAAATTGAGTAGAATCTGTAGGTTTAACCTTTGTTTCGATAGAGTTGATAAACTTTTTAGTGGATCGAGTAGAATATATTATCCGAATTGAATTTACTCGTTTAAATTATGAGTCAATATCCAATTTACTTTCAAGGTTGAAATCTGTTTTATTGGCACGTGAATGTGCGATCTCACGGGAGGATATAAGATAGATGTGTTTCTAATTTAAAAAATGCACTTTAAGTGGTCTGAAAGTGTGATCCTAAAATGTGTTCAATTTTGTTATAGTACGGTTATCTTTGGAACCTCATCGCACCGACCTTTATATGCATTTCCTCACACAAAAATAAGTTTTTTTTGTAAAATTGTTGATTATAAAAACATATTATTGTTTTTAATTCGCTTAACAAAAAAAAAACTGTATTTAAAACTACACACCTTGCCACTTTCTACGACAGCTTCTAATCGGATTAAATTGAAAATGATTCAAATTAATTTCCGATTTTATTGATCAACTAAAATAGAACGGTGATTAAAGTTGATTCGTGGAACGCACCTTTAGTCTTTGGGTGTCGGCCAAAACGTCGGTATTTTTGGCCATTATGTTGTTTGTTTCCTGGTTTAATGGATATTATTCTCCTTGGGACTGTAATTAGACAGTATATTATCCTCGGTTAAGACATTTTATAGCGGTTAAATAAACACCTGTAATAAAATTATTACTACCATGAGAAAAAAAAAATTAAAATTGAATTTCGGCGTTTCAGTGTAAGTGGACAAATGCGATGATATGAGTTTTTTGAGTAATAGAATTTTACGCTCCGAATATAGAAAACGAAATATTTTGTCGACAAGTCAGGTAGGAGGATAATTGACTACAGTGATTGAGCCCAGCTGCTCATGGGTGTTTTTTTTTCCGTTTAATTTATTAACATCCACTTTTTCGTTTAAACACAAGCCGATGGTAAATTGCACAGTCGAACCGTGTTCTACAATATACCTGAATGCGATCAGAGGCAAAAAGCCGACAACAGTATATCAACCCACCAACCTATTTGAAATAAATAAATGAAAGAATTGAATGTGTACACCTATACAGTGTATATATGTTAATAAAACAAATATGGGAAATCGAATTTGATACAGAGCGTGCAGTGTGTAACAAATTTTTGGATTTGTTTACCGAGAGTTTATTTATTTGACTGAAAATAGCAATATGGTAGTGATATCCCGGTTGTTGTTTCGGTGTTATTGACCAAGTAGCCGTTTGGTTTTTGATCGAGTTTTTGGAGTTCCTTACGATTAGGTACCTACCGCCAATAATAAACCTCCTCCCCCATTATTATTATTATTATTATAAAGCGTTCAAAATGCATATATGTTTGCGATTTGCGTTCAGCACACATGCGACGAGGCCTCTGCGTGATTTCGTATACTATAAAACATACGTTACGGTGGGATTGCGAATATCCGGTACATTTGACACGACGACGTCAATGGCGGCAGAGAATCGTATATTGTGAAGAGTGAAAAATAATATCCACGGTCGGCGTTTCCGTAAGTACAGGCAGTTTGAGAATTGCATCGTCTAAAGTCGTGTGTGTGTGTGTGTGTGTGTGTGTGTGTGTGTTAAACATTTCGTTTTTACCGGCGTCGAGGTCACCGGGCTCGACAACTGAGAGGCGGCTGCGGGCGACCGACGGAACATAATATATGTAATTGGTATTGTGTGACATTTGCCACTTGTCAACCGGAGCCCTAGCTTTATTTCCACCGCACTATAGGTAAATCCCTAATGAAATATCGGCAGAAACTGTTCGTCTTATCGCGGAGTGCCTATACCTATACACGCTAGGTGCAATCAAGTCGGGGCTGAAGATTGTTAATGAAAAACTGTGTATATACGAAACTCTAGACACACGGTTTGCCGAACCGAAACCCTTATAATAATTAGCGCTGCGAATTTAATGCTCTGAAAAACCTCAGACGTTACATTTACATAGCCTTACACGTCAAGTATAGAAAAACACCCCTTTGAACAGCAGTGCTCTGTCACTATAATATAGAGAGTAATTCTTTTAATGTTGAACAGTCATGATTTCGCAAAGTATAGACTTCTTTTAAAGCAAATATTTTGTCGGTTTAAGAAACAAGCGGTTCTAAAATGTTACTTCACTATTATTTTTTTTATCCTTATTTTTGGGGTTGAAACGGATACTGACTTTTGATTTTCAAATGGTAACATATATTAAAAGTTTCGTAATATACAGATAGAGTATTAGTTTAAATACATTTTTCATTTCTTTTGACCCGTTCACGAAATATTCCACTTTTAAATGTTGGTACAGAAGATTAGTGGAGCACTATTCAAACGCCATGCGCCTTATTACCATACAAATGATACTCCACTACTTTTACTCCAGAATTTTTACACACTAAGTAATACTGTAATACTCTGTCTAAACATAGAACATTTAACAAGGTAATAAAGTTACCATTTAAACATCATACGTTGGTAGGCATTGCACTCCCAAAAATAAGGGTAACAAAAATTATGCAGTAATATTTTAGATCTGTTCATTTCTTAAATTGTCAAAACTTTTTTTATTTTTTTTGAAAATAATATACTTCGCAAAATAATAATGAGTGTTCAATGATAAAAAAAGAACCTTGTGTATGAGCTGAATTACTGCTCTCCCCCCTTAATTGGATTATAGAAATAGGTTTGGTAAACAATAAAATACTATGAATAGCTGTAATCTTTCGAAAATAACGGTGGAATTTAAGCATATAACTAGTGGAGAATAAAATTCAAAACCATCAAAATTTACACGCCATGCATATACAATATTTAATTCTTTTGGCTTAATTTAGATGGGGGGGGGGTCAGCGTGATGTTCAAGATTTGAAAAAATCTATTTATTTGTGAATACTTAATAAACTGTTTGTTTTAAAAACTTTATTTGACATGTATCGTAAAAAAAATACCGTAAATGCAATGCAAAAAGGAAAAGAATTTTAAAAAAAAAGTTTCAAAATCGAATTCGTTAGTACTACATTGAAATACTTTATACTAAGAATGTTATATGTTTTGTAATACTCGTAAGCTTAAAAGAATATATTTGCCCACAAACCCACAGACGTGGTATAATGTACCAAATCAATACGGTTTTATTTCGTAATAATAATATTATACACATTCATCAGTCAATTATCCTGACTTTTATTTATTTTTTTTATTTTTTTTACCACATTACTCTCCGTTGTGATCACGGTCATTAATACAATTATTTCGCCGTTGGTGTTTTGGTTTGTATTTTCAATTGAATTTGAATAATTTTTAAAAATTCAATTATTCGATATTATTTGATATACATAGGTAAGGTAGGTTTGGTTGGGTTAGGTCACCCATTTAAATTTTCCAAACCGTTTTCGCAGTTAGAGAATCATTGTTTTCTTTTTATAAACATCTATAATGAATATATCTAACAGTGCACGTAATTTATATAGGGTTTATTCTTCGAGAATTCACGTTTGATTGTATACTATTGACTATTGTATTTTATTGTTAGCTAGCCGTTCCAACCGGCCTTACCCGTGCCGATTTTTATTCATTTTTTTTTTACTCATATTCCTTTTTGATTTTAACCGTGTCAATAATGAATAAAAACAAATCAGTGGATAGTGGGTAGTCCACCTTCGGCGGACTAAAAGTATTCTGTTATGACATATGTTTTTAAATTTTGATTTTTAATTTTAATGAAAATATTGCTCTTTCCTAAAACCAACTCGAGATCTTAGTAGCAATATTGGATATTTCTTAGCAAACATATATTCTATAGTCTCGATCAGCAAAAGTTTCATAACTCCTTGATAAGCGAACATTTTTAGTCTTTGCCGTGTTGTGTCCTGTAATAGATCTTTGTTTAGGCATGAATAAAACGCAAAAAAATTTTAAAGACATTTTACAGTTATCATTATTTTTATTAATATTAATTACCATAAATACCCATACCATAGATATGTTTTGACCAACCATTTAATTTTTTTTAAATTTCATTCGTGTGACTAAGGTAATCCATATAAATAAGTAATAATACCTAAAAACCAAATTTTGGGGGGGTTGTTTTTAATAAGAAATAGATCTCAATGGTATCCATTAATGTAAACCGTATCGAAATCCGTTCGGCAGTTTCGGAGTTTATCCCGAACAAAAATAAAAACGACTTCATTTTATACTATGTATTGATGTATAAAGGCCGATAGAACGTCGTGAAAAATATCTTCAAGAACGATCGTAGACATTTTTCCAACGATTATTTGCAATATGTTTTAGAACCGATTTCCTGAAGGTTCGTAATGAGAACTGTTGAATTTCACTCAAGTATATGTGCAGTACGCAACGCCTCAACAACCGGGGATTCTGGGGTGCAACGAACTCCTAAGAAGCTCTTAACGGTGAAGCGAACGGTATTTGAAATACCCATTGGTTATTATCGAATGATAAGTGTTATTTATTTAGTGCTTTATTGATTCTATATATTCCAAAAAAAAAGTATTAAGCAATGTACAGACTTACACTATAGTATACCCACGACTGGATGTACTATTTTTAACATTCAACAATATGTTTGAAATCTGAATTACTTGTAGCTATACCGTCTTAAAATAATATTTTCCGAATAATTATCGTAATTTTATTAGTTGTGTGTTGTCTAGAATTTAGATAACCGAAAATCATCTTTTATTTTTCTCTTATATAAATGATTAATAATATTATCTTTACCTTTCATCTAGAATCAATAGAATCAAAAAAATGGTTATTACATTGGCTGCTCGGAAATTCTCAGTATGACGGGATTTAGTAAATAATAACCATGGTACATGAATAAATTGTAGAAATTTCTTCTGTTATAGTTGCCTAACTGGACAACGGAAATTTAAAAGCTATGTACTCAAATAGTTCAAGGTATTTTTTTTATTAACTTGGCTGAAATATATAATTAATAGACAAAATAACCTGTACATTTGAGTTGTTGTATTTTTAAGTCAATTCGTATGGGAGGGTTTCCCACTCTGCATACGGTACTAGGGCATGGCCGGTTTCTGCCGATAATGTACCATTCCCTTTTCCGCCGATTCCCGTTTCCACCAAATCATAAAATTGGTCAATATTTTAATATTAATGGAAAATTGTTTACGTTGTAATTATTAATTAGATAAGCAAATCGATTGAATATTATACAATTTTTCTATTTATGTATGATACAAATTACTGTGTTTATTATTTATTGAATACAAGGTAAAAATAGTTGTTAATACTCATAACGGTTGTCTTACAACAATTTTTTACATAAAAAATATAATCATTTTCTTTTATTATTATTATTGTACATAATATTAATATTATTATTAAGTATTTAGTATTATCAGAGTTAATATTCAAATATAAGACTATTTTTTTTTTTCATTTGGCGGAAAAAGGAAATCGACCAATTTTATGATTTGGCGGAAACGATAATCGGCGGAAAAGGGAAAGGTACATTTTTTGACGGAAACGGGTAACTTCAGTTATCTTTCCCAACACCGGGATTTTCTATAGCGATACTATCGTTATTACTAAAATATCACCGCTTTGGAAATAAAATAATGCATTAATTATTGTGTTATTGGAGAAATAACGATAACAATAATAATATTGTGACAATCTGCGCTGGAACGAAACGTACATTGTAAATCGATATTTTAAACACCGTGTAATAATTATTATTATTATCATTGGGATATATTCAAACAACTAACATAATATTATATTGTGCAGCATTGGCGATATAGAGATACTGACACGTGTAAATACGAGTAAACGGTGTAGTCGTTTTGTTTACACACGACTCGTTACGAAACGGATTTTACAAAATCGTAAACCAACCGATCGGTTATTATTAATATTCTAATTTAAATACGACATTACAACATCGTGCGAGTACGGGAGATGTTCGATAATAGCATGGAAGATATTGCAGTTCAGTATTGGCCGAAATCCGCGCGTATAGGTTTAATACGCTATTTTGTTTTTATTTCTTGATTTACCATAAAAGATTCCAAGATTTCTTTCCTTTTTTTTTCAAATTTATTCTTTTTATTATTCTGTTTTTTTCTTTCTATAAGTACCTACACGAAATCATATGAAATTAAAACTGTAAGTTTTTTTTTTTCCTCAACTCGAAACCAAAAGTTTTCATTTTTATTATACACTTACTTCTCGGAGAACATCAAAAGTTATAAATCGATGAAAAAAAAAAATCTGTTTACCTATACGTAATAACTAATATTATAACATGCCTGTTCAATTTCGTTATTTTGATAGAACCAACCGAATCAAATGAAATTCGACAAATATAATACTATAATATTATGAACAGAGAGAATTACCTTAATTAAAGACATAAAGACGACTCGTCGATAGTCGACTTTTTGTGTTATTCTGATAATACAGGAGAGTACGTTTTTAATATTTTAATTTGTATTTTCGTTTCAATTTTTGACAGATTGTGTGTTGTACTAGCACGGGTCAGTTTAATCACAGTTGTATTTGACGACAATATTTGGCAGGTGATAATTTCTGTGTTCAGTACGAATCGCGCAGGCATTTTAATTAGGTACATTTTATAAATTATGAGAATTAAAAGTCTGCAGTGTATAATCCACTGACGCGGTCGTGAATTTTAGTAAAATGGTGATCTTAAAACGCTAAAAAAAAAAAATTATTACAATACGCTCAAATTTTATTTTCAAAACTAAATATAACTTATAATGAACCTCTTATTGAATTTTCAAACAATTTTATTCGACTAAAAAAATATATTCACATAAAACCAAATAAAAACTAAACAAATTTGTAAATGTAAAATGCTTGTAATAATAGCACAAAAATCCCAAAAATGTAAAAAGAAAATTTGCCATTCTGTAAATGTTACCATGCACAGAAAAAGATAATATAAGTATACTATAACACAAGCAAAAAGTCTCAGTGATCAATTTCTAACGAAACAAAAAGAAAAAAAAAATCTAAAACCATTCTTGCTGTAAACTTTCTCGCTGACCCTAAGTTTTACCTAATTATTCAAAATTTTATTTTAGAAAATATGATACTCTTGAAACTCAGAGCAAGATTTTTGGTAGAAAAATTGAATTAAATAAGGTCTAAAATAATGAAACTTTCATTGCCGTACATTTATCCGGTTTTCCTACAAGTTTCGTTTCTGTTTTTCACAATCATGAAAATTGTGAGGAAAATAAAAAAAAATAACTTCTTCGGTACACCAACTAAATCTAATATGCTAAAATGTCTTATTTTTATATTTTCGATAAGATTTCTAGTAGAAAAGTGATTCACAAAAACACAAAATATAAATAATTTAAAATAATAATTAATAAAATAAATAAAACAATAATTTAAAAAAAAACACATTGTAGTATATAGTACGTTCAAAAAATATTAGCAGTTTTACCTCTTAATAATAATAAATTTAAGAAAGGAGTAAAATTTATCTTTTGAAATTTTATCACCTGTTAAATATCAGTGGGGTCGATTTTTACGATTACACAGTTGTTAAACAATTATTTTAGCAATAAATTCAACTTGGGAAAAGCCTCGTATCAAATTTATGACAATTTTTAAAGGGTTTAACAAACTTAATTCATATGCATCAAAAAACAATACCCATATATTGATAATTTGAACGAATTTCGTTGAAATCTGATGCGAATTCCTAAATTGTGTAAAAACTAAAAATCCTGATTATGGATTTACGGTATTCTATACTTTTAAAATATATTATGTAGAATATAAGAGGAACCTAGTAAATAATGTTTGAGTATTTATACGAAACAGTAAAAATTGTGTATTCGTATATAACAAATACAAATAAAAATAATCGACAATTTTAACTAGCTATGAATAAAACAAATGACTCCAGAATGTTTGGAAAATTTTACCACGTCATTAAAAGGTCCATATAAGTATTCGGTGAATATTTCAGGCATCTACGTACCTGTATGAAACACCGATTCACGACAGTTAAATTAAATCGATTTTGATCGAAAATTTTGTTGCGTGAATATTTCCGTTTTTTTGATCTCAGTTCGTCATCAGAAACCACTCCTGAAGTCGATGATTAAAGCAAATTTTCTGCTCCAATATTCGAAATTCTATTCGTTAAAATATGAAGCAAAATAAAAGTCACTTTGTAAGATAATGTATCTATCCAAAAAGAGCCTACTTATATTAAAATATTATCACGAGATACAATATTTTCGTCTATTCTCCTTTCTCCTGATCCGTCGTACCTACTAAAATATTGTGTTTGAGACGGTCGACATATTGTCAATCAAGTGTAACAAATTCAGCAGTAGTTGAGACACGTTGTCTTATATTAACGTAATTATCCCTGAAACGCAAACAATATAATTATATTGGCTGTCGAATAATATTGTTATACCTCGGAAATAATAGATAGTAAGGTAGGTCGTAGGTACCTGGCAAAATTTTACAAGGGAAGAAATGTCGATCCTTATTTGAATAACCACAAATTTCCCGGGTTTATTCAGTGTACCTACCTATATAGATTTATTGTCAGCGTTATTATACGTTTTGTGTAGTTGGAATTTAACATAGGTCGTTTTTTGTTTCCCGTGCAGGTTCTTTTATTTATAATGTGGAAAAGCCGGAATAAACGGGTATATTTTAACGCAATAACGGTTTCTGTTAAAATCGATTTTGTTTTGTTTTGTGTAATTTGTTAAAAAAAAAAAATCATTAACACAGGAAATTATCATTGGATGCTTAAATTGGTGTTTTCTAGATGTAGTATAATTAGCGAAATATTTTTCTGTTTTTTGAGTTATTCATAGCTGTTTGCAATTGTTGAGGTTT